CATTATAAAAAAAAAAGTATATATATATGTGTGTGTTATATAAAATAAAATGTGTTTATATTTTTTTTAAATTAAATCCTCATTATAAAAAAAGAATATATATATATATATATATATATATATATATATATATATATATATATATATATATATACATTATACATTACACACACTATGTTTATAATAAGGACAAGCCCTAGTTAAAAGTAAAAGCCAACACAAAGAAAAAAAAAAAGTTTTAAAATGGATTATAAAAAAAAAAAAAAAAAAAGTCTTTTCAGCTTTTTTTTTTCGTTTTATGGAAGAAAAAAAAAAGTTATACAAGACGTGTATATATATAAAATGTGTTATATATATATATATATATATTTTTTTTTTTTTTTTTAATCCTCATTATAAAAAAAAAAAGTATATATATATGTGTGTGTTATATAAAATAAAATGTGTTTATATTTTTTTTAAATTAAATCCTCATTATAAAAAAAGAATATATATATATATATATATATATATATATATATATATATATATATATATATATATATATATATATACATACACACTATGTTTATAATGAGGACAAGCCCTAGTTAAAAGTAAAAGCCAACACAAAGCAAAAAAAAAAGTTTTAAAATGGATTATAAAAAAAAAAAAAAAAAAGTCTACTTCCAGCTTTTTTTTTTCTTTTTATGGAAGAAAAAAAAAAAGTTATACAACACACACACACATTTATATATATATATCACACACACACATTTTTTTTTTTATAATGAGGATTTAATAAAACAAAAAAAAAAAAAAAAAGATATAGAACACATTATATATATATATACAGTCAGGTCCATAAATATTGGGACATGGACACAATTCTAACATTTTTGGCTCTATACACCACTACAATGGATTTGAAATGAAACGAACAAGATGTGCTTTAACTGCAGACTGTCAGCTTTAATTTGAGGGTATTTACATCCAAATCAGGTGAACGGTGTAGGAATTACAACAGTTTGCATATGTGCCTCCCACTTGTTAAGGGACCAAAAGTAATGGGACAGAATAATAATCATAAATCAAACTTTCACTTTTTAATACTTGGTTGCAAATCCTTTGCAGTCAATGACAGCCTGAAGTGTGGAACGCATAGACATCAGCAGACGCTGGGTGTCATCCCTGGTGATGCTCTGCCAGGCCTCTACTGCAACTGTCTTCAGTTCCTGCTTGTTCTTGGGGCATTTTCCCTTCAGTTTTGTATTTCAGCAAGTGAAATGCTCATCGGATTCAGGTCAGGTGATTGGCCATTGCAGAACATTCCACTTCTTTGGTTGCTTTGCAGTCTGCTTTGGGTCATTGTCCATCTGCACTGTGAAGCGTCCAATGAGTTGTGAAGCATTTGGCTGAATATGAGCCGATAATATTCCCGAAACACTTCACAATTCATCCGCTGCTTCTGTCAGCAGTCACATCATCAATAAATACAAGAGAAGCAGTTCCATTGGCAGCCATACATGCCCACGCCATGACACTACCACCACCATGATCACTGATGAGGTGGTATGCTGAGGACCATGAGCAGTTCCTTCTCCATCCTCTTCTCTTCCCATCACTCTGTACAAGTTGATGTCGGTCTCATCTGTCCATAGGATGTTGTTCCAGAACTGTGAAGGCTTTTTTACATGTCGTTTGGCAAACTCTAATCTGGCCTTCCTTTTTTGAGGCTCACCAATGGTTTCCATCTTGTGGTGAACCCTCTGTATTCACTCTGGTGAAGTCTTCTCTTGATTGGTGACTTTGACACACATACACCTACCTCCTGGAGGTGTTCTTGATCTGGCCAACTGTTTGAAGGGTGTTTTCTTCACCAGGGAAAGAATTCTTCGCTCATCCACCACAGTTGTTTTCCGTGGTCTTCCGGGTTTTTGGTGTTGCTGAGCTCACCGGTGCGTTCCTTCTTTTTAAGAATGTTCCAAACAGTTGTTTTGGCCACGCCTAATGTTTTTGCTATCTCTCTGATGGGTTTGTTTTGTTTTTTCAGCCTAATGATGGCTTCACTGATAGTGACAGCTCTTTGGATCTCATCTTGAGAGTTGACAGCAACAGATTCCAAATGCAAATAGCACACTTGAAATGAACTCTGGACCTTTTATCTGCTCATTGTAATTGGGATAATGAGGGAATAACACACACACCTGGCCATGGAACAGCTGAGAAACCAATTGTCCCATTTTCTTTTGGTCCCTTAACAAGTGGGAGGCACATATGCAAACTGTTGTAATTCCTACACCGTTCACCTGATTTGGATGTAAATACCCTCAAATTAAAGCTGACATCCTGCAGTTAAAGCACATCTTGTTCGTTTCATTTCAAATCCATTGTGGTGGTGTATAGAGCCAAAAATGTTAGAATTGTGTCCATGTCCCAATATTTATGGACCTGACTGTATATATATGTGTGTGTTAGATAAAATAAAATGTGTTTATATTTTTTTTTAATGAAATCCTCATTATAAAAAAAATATATATATATATATATATTATACATTATACATACACATACACACTTTTTTATAATGAGGACAAGCCCTAGTTAAAGTAAAAGCCAACACAAAAGAAAAAAAAAAAGTTTTAAAATGGATTATAAAAAAAAGTCCACTTCCAGCTTTTTTTTTTTCTTTTTATGGAAGAAAAAAAAAAAAAAAAGTTATACAACACACACACATATATATACACACTATTTTATAATGAGGATTTAATATAATTATAAAATGTGTTCTATATCTTTTTTTTTTTTGTTTTTTTAAATCCCCATTATAAAAAAAGTATATACTTTTTTATAATGAGGATTTAATAAAAATAAAAAAAAAAAATATATAGAACACATTATATATATATATATATATATATATATATATATATATATATATATATATATATATATATATATATATATATATTGTTAATATAATTATAAAATGTGTTACATATCTTTTTTTTTTTTTGTTTTATTAAATCCCCATTATAAAAAAAGTATATACTTTTTTATAATGAGGATTTAATAAAAATAAAAAAAAAAAGATATAGAACACATTTTATATATATATATATATATATATATATATATATATATATATATATATATATATATATGTGTGTGTTAATATAATTATAAAATGTGTTATATATCTTTTTTTTTTTTTTTTTTATTAAATCCCCATTATAAAAAAAGTATATACTTTTTTATAATGAGGATTTAATAAAAAAAAAAAAAAAAAAAGATTTTTTTAGAACACATTTTATATATATATATATATATATATTTTATAATGATATGTGTGTTTTTTTTAATTATAAAATGTGTTACATATCTTTTTTTTTTTTTTTTTATTAAATCCCCATTATAAAAAAAGTATATATATATATATATATATATATATATATATATATATATATATATATATATATATATATATATATATATATATATATATGTGTGTGTGTGTGTGTTTATATTTCTTTTAAATTAAATCCTCATTATAAAAAAGTGTGTGTATGTATATATATATATATATATATATATATATATATATATATATATATTTTATTATACATACACACTTTTTTATAATGAGGATTTAATTTAAAAAAAAAAAAAAAAAAAAAAAGATATACAACACATTTTATAATATATACACACACACACACATTTTTTTTATGAAAAAAATAAAATAATTAAATAAATAAATAAAAAAAAGCAGTACCCTAGTTTAAATTTAAAGCCCAACTCAACTGTTTAATTTTTAATCAAAATATGTAAAGACAGTTTTAAAAATGATTAAAAAAAAAAAAGGTCCAACTCTTTTTTTTTTTCCCCTTTTATTTTTACCAAAGATTTTATTAGGTATGTGAAAAGAGACAAACAAACCATAACAGAATCATATCATACAGAGCAAGAAACAACAAAAGACAGGGAAACACCACACAGCAGGCACAGAGATATACAAAAAAGACCACTTGGGGGGTCCAGTTAACACTATAGAGGCCCTAAACCACTTAACATTTTTTTTTTATATATATGTAACTTTTTTAAATTAATAAAATTAATAAAAAGGCCCAACACAACATTTTGTTTACAATTTAAAAAGTATATAAAATTAACATGCATTAAAAAAAAAAATTAAAACATTTTTTAAAAAGGGAGTAGCCCAGCACTAGTTAAAAATGACAGTCCAATGTTATTTTTTTAATTCAAAATCAATAAAAAAAAAAAAATAAAAAAAAATCAGTAGCTCAGCCTAAATCTGAAGTGGAAGTCCCAACTCTATTTTGAATCAAAAAAATTTGAAAAATCTAAAAAAAAAAAAAAAAAAAAAAAAATCTAAAATATTTTTGAAAGGAGAAGCTAAAATTTAAAAGAAACTATATATTTTTTTAAATTTAATTGGTAAAGTAAAAAAAAAAAAAAAAAAAAAAAAAAAAAGAAGGATCAGTAGCCCCGCACTAATTATTTTTAAAAATTACTGCAACCCTCCCCCCCCTCTAAAAAAAAATATATTTTTCCTGAAAGCAGACACCCTTGAGAATAAAATGGCGGTCATTGCAATATTTTATTGCTTCGTGATATTTGTGCAATTATTTATCACATGGTGTCAGGTAAAAAATACATGGAGATTAATTTTAGAAGGAACACAATCGGCTTACATGGAGTACAGAGATACCAAACATGCCACGCCCCAAAGACCGCACACGCCGACATGCCGACACGCCCCAAAGACCGCACACGCCTGGGGAACTGCAGAGAAAACACCCGACTCAAAATTCTTACTTTTAAAAAAAAAAAAATTTTTTTAACAATTTAAAAAGTACATAAAATCTCCCCATTGTGGAGGGGCAGAGACACAAAGGGGGAAATCTACTGCAGGAGACAAACTACTCTCTCCACATTGTGGGAGGGGCAGAGACACAAATACTGCAGGGAAATCTCCTCATTGTGGGAGGGGCAGAGACAAAAACTACAGGGGAAATCTCCTCATTGTGGGAGGGGCAGAGACACAAACTACTGCGGGAAATCTCCACATTGTGGGAGGGGCAGAGACACAAACTACTGCGGGAAATCTCCGCATTGTGGGAGGGGCAGAGACACAAACTACTGCGGGAAATCTCCGCATTGTGGGAGGGGCAGAGACACAAATACTGCGGCGGGAAATTCTCCGCATTGTGGGAGGGGCAGAGACTACAAACTACTGCAGGAATCTCCGCATTGTGGGAGGGGCAGAGACACAAACTACTGCGGGGAAATCTCCCCATTGTGGGAGGGGCAGAGACACACAAACTACATGCGGGAAATCTCCGCATTGTGGGAGGGGCAGAGACACAAACTACTGCGGGAAATCTCCGCATTGTGGGAGGGGCTCAGAGACACAAACTACTGCGGGAAATCTCGCATTGTGGGAGGGCAGAGACACAACTACTCTTGCGGAAATCTCCGCATTGTGGGAGGGGCAGAGACACAAACTACTGGGGGAAATCTCCGGCATTGTGTTAGGGGCAGAGACAAACTATACTGGGGGAAAATCCTCCCCATTGTGGGAGGGGCAGAGACACAAACTAACTGCGGGGAAATCTCCCCATTGTGGGAGGGGCAGAGACACAAACTACTGCGGGAAATCTCCCCATTGTGGGGAGGGGCAGAGACACAACATACAGCGGGGAAATCTCCGCATTGTGGGAGGGGCAGCACAAACTACTGCGGGAAATCTCCGCATTGTGGGAAGGGCAGAGACAAACTACTGCGGGAAATCTCCCGCATTGTGGGAGGGGCAGAGACACAAACTACTGCGGGAAATCTCCGCATTGTGGGAGGGGCAGAGACACAACAACTGCGGGAAATCTCCGCATTGTTGGGAGGGGCAGAGACACAAACTACTGCGGCTTAAATCTCCGCATTGTGGGAGGGGCAGAGACACAACTACTGCGAAATCTCCGCATTGTGGGAGGGGCAGAGACACAACTACTGCGGGAAATCTCCCATTGTGGGAGTGGCAGAGACACAAACTAGCTGGGGGAAATCTCCCCATTGTGGAGGGGCAGAGACGCAAACTACTGGAGGAAATCTCCGCATGTGGGAGGGGCAGAGGCAGAGACACAACTACTGCGGGAAATCTCCGCATTGTGGGAGGGCAGCAGACACAACTACTGCGGGAAATCTCCGCATTGTGGGAGGGGCAGAGACACAAACTACTTGCGGGAAATCTCCGCATTGTGGGAGGGGCAGAGACACAACTAGCTGCGGGAAATCTCCCGCATTGTGGAGGGGCATGAGACACAAACTACTGCGGGAAATCTCCGCATTGTGGGAGGGCAGAGACACAAACTGCAGGAAAATCTCCGCATTGTGGGGAGGGGCAGAGACACAAACTACTGCAGGAAAATCTCCGCATTGTGGGAGGGGCAGAGACACAAACTACTGCAGGAAAATCTCCCCATTGTGGGAGTGGCAGAGACACAACTATACTGCGGAAATCTCCGCATTGTGGGGGTGGCAGAGACACAAACTACTGCGGAAAATCTCCCGCTTGTGGGAGGGGCAGAGACACAACTACTTCTGCGGGAAATCTCCCGCATTGTGGGGGAGGGGCAGAGACACAACTACTGCGGGGAAATCTCCGCATTGTGGGAGGGGCAGAGACACAACTACTGCGGGAAATCTTCTCCGCATTGTGGGAGGGGCAGAGACACAAACTACTGGGGGAAATCTCCCATTGTGGGAGGGGCAGAGACACAAATAATTATACTGGGGGAAATCTCCCATTGTGGGAGGGGCAGAGACACAAATCTACTGGAGGAAATCTCCGCATTGTGGGAGGGGCAGAGACACAAACTACTGGAGGAAATAATCTCCCCATTGTGGGATGGGGCAGAGACACAAATACTACTGCAGGAAATCTCTCCGCATTGTGGGAGGGGCAGAGACACAAACTACTGGGGGAAATCTCCCCATTGTGGGGGGGGCAGAGACACCAAACTACTGCAGGAAATCTCCGCATTGTGGGAGGGGCAGAGACACAAACTACTGGAGGAAATCTCTGCATTGTGGAGGGGCAGAGACACAAACTACTGGGGGGAAATCTCCGCATTGTGGGAGGGGCAGAGACACAACTACTGCGGGAAATCTCCGCATTGTGGGAGGGGCAGAGACACAAAACTACTGGAGGAAATCTCTGCATTGTGGGAGGGGCAGAGAGACACAACTACTGCGGGAAATCTCCGCATTGTGGGAGGGGCAGAGACAAAACTACTGCGGGGAAATCTCTGCATTGTGGGAGGGGCAGAGACACAACTACTGCGGAAATCTCCGCATTGTGGGAGGGGCAGAGACACAAACTACTGGGGGGAAATCTCCCCATTGTGGGAGGGCAGAGACACAAAAACTGGGGGGAAATCTCCGCATTGTGGGAGGGGCAGAGAAGAGACACAACTACTATGGAGGAAGGAAATCTCCGCATTGTGGGAGGTGGCAGAGACACCAAACTGCGGGAAATCTCTGCCATTGTGGGAGGGGCAGAGACACAAACTACTGCGGGAAATCTCCGCATTGTGGGAGGGGCAGAGACACAAAAAACTACTACTGCGGAAATCTCCCCCATTGTGGGAGGGGCAGAGACACAAACTACTGGGGGGAAATCTCCCCCATTGTGGGGAGGGGCAGAGACACAAACTACTGCGGGAAATCTCCGCATTGTGGGAGGGGCAGAGACACAACTACTGCGGGAAATCTCCGCATTGTTGGGAGGGGCAGATAGACACAACTACTGCGGGAAAATCTCCGCATTGTGGGAGGGGCAGAGACACAAACTACTGCGGGAAATCTCCGCATTGTGGAGGGAGGGGCAGAGACACAACTACTGCGGGAAATCTCCCATTGTGGGAGGGGCGGAGACACAAACTACTGGGGGGAAATCTCCCCATTGTGGGAGGGGCGGAGACACAAACTACTGGGGGGAAATCTCCGCATTGTGGGAGGGGCAGAGACACAACTACTGCGGGAAATCTCCGCATTGTGGGAGGGGCAGAGACAACAACTACTGCGGGAATCTCCACATTGTGGGAGGGGCAGAGACACAACTACTGCGGGAAATCTCCCCATTGTGGGAGGGGCGGAGACACAAACTACTGGGGGGAAATCTCCCGATTGGAGGAAATAATAAAATCGCCCTGTGAAGTACAATAACCATGTACAGTGTGGAGAGCTTTCCGGACTACAAACAGCTTTTTCATTTAGAAATGAGTGATTTTCCCACTGCGGATTACTCAGCGGCAGCAGCTGGAAGCTAAATCTTTGCAATGTTTGCGCAGTAAGTATATGTGATCTCCCTCTCATTGAAGACTCTCAGGTTCTCTCTTCTCAGCCAATTCACTAAACAAAAAGGAAAATTCGCTCCTGCACACCGACTCCCCTCAGGATTAGCGAGTAAACCGTGGAACGGCGATATTTTATGACCCGAGCAAATGTCAGCGAGACGATAGAAAGGAAGTCAATGTGTACAGTATGGAGAGCAGAGCCGGTGACAACCGTCGCCAAACCAAATATCACCGGGGACACCTTCCCCAACATGGCCGCTATGTGTGCTGCAGAACATCGCTCCGTCCCATCCCCCTCCTGACAGATCCATATTGGGATATTCTGCAGATTATTCCACCTCTGACCTCTCTAGAGTGCTGCAGAGCATCGCTCCATCCCATCCCCCTCCTGACAGATCTATATTGATATATTCTGCAGACTATTCCATCACTGACCTCTCTAGAGATCGGCAGAACATCGCTCCGTCCCCCTCCCCCCTCCTGACAGATCCTTATTGATACATTCTGCAGATTATTCCACCACTGACCTCTCTAGAGATCTGCAGAGCATCGCTCCATCCCATCCCCCTCCTGACAGATCCACATTGATATATTCTGCAGATTATTCCATCACTGACCCCTCTAGACATCTGCAGAACATCGCTCCCCCCCCCTGACAGATCCATAGATACATTCTGCAGAACATCGCTCCCTCCCAACAGATCCATATCGATATATTCTGCAGACTATTCCATCACTGACCTCTCTAGAGATCTGCAGAACATCGCTCCCTCCCCTCCCCCTCCTGACAGATCCATATTGATATATTCTGCAGATTATTCCTATCAGGTCATTATGAATTCAGGTTCCGGGCACAGCGGAGCGATGTGATTGGATCACACAGACGGGGGTTACATGTTTGGATATCACAGACGTGTTGTCGGCCTCACACACGGGGATCCTCCCTTCCCGGCGTGTTGGGACCTGCGTTGTGCAGTTTCGGTCTGTCTTTGTCACGCTGACAGGATGTTTGTTTCTGGGTCTCTTTGCTTTATCCAGGTAATAAAAAGAGTAGGCATCACCTGCTGGGCAGGCCTGGGCCGAGATATGGGGGGCGGTGTGAGGCTGGAGCCAGAAATCCAACCACCTGGAGGCGGAGGTCTGACTTAACCCTTTCCCACCGTACACCTGAAACCACGAACATTGACAGAGCTCTGACATATACCACGGCGCTGTACAGAGAACACTGAGCCAGTCCCATCAGTCTGTGCAGAGGAGCTTACACTCTAATGTCCCCCTCCCCCACAGTCCCATCAGTCTCTGTACAGAGGAGCTTACACTCTAATGTCCCCTCTCCCCCCACAGTCCCGCATCATCTCTGTACCAGAGGAGCTTACGCTCTAATGTCCCCTCCCCCCACAGTCCCATCAGTCTCTGTACAAGAGGAGCTTACACTCTAATGTCCCCTTCCCCGCAGCCACATCAGTCTCTGTACCAGAGGAGCTTACGCTCTAATGTCCCCTCCCCCACAGTCCCATCAGTCTCTGTACAGAGGAGCTTACACTCTAATGTCCCCCGGTATCCCCCGCAGTCCCATCAGTCTCTGTACAGAGGAGCTTACACTCTAATGTCCCCTCCCCCGCAGTCCCATCAGTCTCTGCACCAGAGGAGCTTACGCTCTAATGTCCCCCTCCCCCACAGTCCCATCAGTCTCTGTACAGAGGAGCTTACGCTCTAATGTCCCCTCCCCCACAGTCCCATCAGTCTCTGTACCAGAGGAGCTGACGCTCTAATGTCCCCTCACCCCGCAGTCCCATCAGTCTCTGTACGTACCAGAGGAGCTTACGCTCTAATGTCCCCCCCCCCCGCAGTCCCATCAGTCTCTGTACCAGAGGAGCTTACGCTCTAATGTCCCCTCCCCCCACAGTCCCATCAGTCTCTGTACCAGAGGAGCTTACACTCTAATGTCCCCTCCCCCCACAGTCCCATCAGTCTCTGTACCAGAGGAGCTTACACTCTAATGTCCCCTCCCCCACAGTCACACACTATTATTATTATACATTTCTATAGCTCTGACATATACCGTAGCGCTGTACAAGTATTACTGGTACACTTTACTGGAGACCCCTGAACTCCGTCCTTTTTTGGGGGAGGTCTTACAGAACCCAACTGTCCCGGTTTTGCCGGGACAGTCCCACACCAATGCCCTCCGTCCCGCTGATGCTCTGTCCAGGGCTGTGTCCCGGAATCACAGCATCAACCTTCAGTCACATGGGCGGTCCACCCATATTTAGAGGCGGGGTCTGGGTAGGACCAACCTGTAAAGTGGGTGGGATCTGGCCACGCCCACCAAAAGTGAGCAGATGAAATGTGGACAGTGGGGGGGGGGGGGGGGGGGGTAACAGCATCCTTGGATTTGGGGCCATAATATTGGTACATATGGGGGCCACACACTTTTGGTGTAGAGTTACATATTGTATTCCGTTCAAGTGATCCCAACCAGGTTACAATGTATACTCCGATCAAGTGATCCCACCCCGGTTACAATGTATACTCTGATCAAGTGATCCCAACCAGGTTACAATGTATACTCCGATCAAGTGATCCCACCCGGGTTACAATGTATACTCTGATCAAGTGATCCCACCCGGGTTACAATGTATCTCCGATCAAGTGATCTCACCCGGGTTACAATGTATACGCCGATCAAGTGATCTCACCCAGGTTACAATGCATCTCCGATCAAGTGATCCCACCCGGGTTACAGTGTATATGCCGATCAAGTGATCCCTCCCGGGTTACAATGTATACTCTGATCAAGTGATCTCACCCGGGTTACAATGTATACTCCGATCAAGTGATCTCACCCAGGTTACAATGTATACTCCGATCAAGTGATCCCACCCGGGTTACAGTGTATATGCCGATCAAGTGATCTCACCCAGGTTACAATGTATCTCCGATCAAGTGATCCCACCCGGGTTACAGTGTATATGCCGATCAAGTGATCCCTCCCGGGTTACAATGTATACTCTGATCAAGTGATCTCACCCGGGTTACAACGTATACTCCGATCAAGTGATCCCACCCGGGTTACAATGTATACTCCGATCAAGTGATCCCACCCGGTTACAATGTATACTCTGATCAAGTGAGCCCACCCAGGTGCGATCTTTTGATTGCAAGATCTGGACGTCAGCGAAGTCGCCATTTATGGCCTGGCCACCATTTTTATCTGATACGCTGCGCTCCTGGTGACAGGTCCCCTTTAAGGTACCCGGTCAGATACAACCACATCTGTCCTCATCAGGATTTCCTGTCTGCCGTCACCTCGGGTGACCCGGCGATCAGCAGACAGAAGACGCTCACATCCCGTCTACCGGATGGCGGGATCCCCCCCCCCCCCCCATCATTTCCCATCATCCCCTCCTCTCACCAAAAAAAAAAAAAAAAAAAAACTTTCACTGCGAAACTCAACACGCCCGGATCACATGAACCGCCATTCTTCTCCCACCTCTGCGCTTAAAGGGGCGACGACCCTAAAAAAAATAGGAGATACTTCGTGGGGAGCGGGAGATATTCCAGGAAAAATCCTTGAATGTTTCTACAGCCGAGTCCCCACTGGGGAGATTTCTGCTCACTTCCTGTGTCAGTGCCCACGGAGGAGATTTCCCCTCACTTCCTGTGTCCACGCCCACTGAGGAGATTATCCTCACTTCCTGGGTCAGTGCCCACTGAGGAGGTTTCTGCTCATTTCCTGCGTCAGAGCCCAGTGGGGAGATTTCTACTCACTTCCTGCGTCAGTGCTCACTGGGGAGATTTCTCCTCACTTCCTGTGTCAGAGCCCACTGGGGAGATTTCTGCTCACTTCCTGCGTGAGAGCCCACTGGGGAGATTTCTCCTCACTTCGTGTCAGTGCCCACTGGGGAGATTTCTGCTCACTGCCTGCGTCAGAGCCCACTGGGGAGATTTATGATCACTTCCTGCGTCAGAGCCCCACTGGGAGATTTATGATCACTTCCTGTGTCAGAGCCCACTGGGGAGATTTCTGCTCACTTCCTGCGTCAGAGCCTACTGGGGAGATTTCTAATCACTTCCTGCGTCAGAGCCCACTGGGGAGATTTCTAATCACTTCCTGCGTCAGTGCCCACTGGGGAGATTTATGATCATTTCTGCGTCAGAGCCCACTGGGGAGATTTATGATCACTTCCTGTGTCAGAGCCCACTGGGAGATTTATGATCACTTCCTGTGTCAGAGCCCACTGGGGAGATTTCTGCTCACTTCCTGTGTCAGAGCCTACTGGGGAGATTTATAATCACTTCCTGTGTCAGAGCCCACTGGGGAGATTTCTAATCACTTCCTGCGTCAGAACCCACTGGGGAGATTTTTGCTCACTTCCTGTATCAGAGCCCACTGGGGAGATTTCTGCTCACTTCCTGCGTCAGAGCCTACTGGGGAGATTTATAATCACTTCCTGCGTCAGAGCCCACTGGGGAGATTTCTAATCACTTCCTGCGTCAGAACCCACTGGGGAGATTTTTGCTCACTTCATCAGAGCCCACTGGGGAGATTTCTGCTCACTTCCTGCGTCAGAGCCCACTGGGGAGATTTCTAATCACTTCCTGCGTCAGAGCCCACTGGGGAGATTTTTGCTCACTTCCTGTATCAGAGCCCACTGGGGAGATTTCTAATCACTTCCTGCGTCAGTGCCCACTTAGGAGATTTCCCCACTTCCTGTATCAGTGCCGACTGAGGAAGTTTCTCCTCACTTCCTGTGTCAGG